TCACCGACACACCCGTACTCACCGACACACCCGTACTCACCGACACATCTGTACTCACCGACACATCTGTACTCACCGACACATCTGTACTCCCTGACACATCTGTACTCACTGACACATCTGTACTCACTGACAAACCTGTACTCACTGACACATCTGTACTCACTGACACATCTGTACTCACTGACACACCTGTACTCACTGACACATCTGTACTCACTGACACATCTGTACTCACTGACACACCTGTACTCACTGACACACCTGTACTCACTGACACACCTGTACTCACTGACACACCTGTACTCACTGACACATCTGTACTCCCTGACACATCTGTACTCACTGACAAACCTGTACTCACTGACACATCTGTACTCACTGACACACCTGTACTCACTTACACATCTGTACTCACTGACACATCTGTACTCACTGACACACCTGTACTCACTGACACATCTGTACTCACTGACACACCTGTACTCACTTACACATCTGTACTCACTGACACATCTGTACTCACTGACACACCTGTACTCACTGACACATCCGTACTCACTGACACACCTGTACTCACTTACACATCTGTACTCACTGACACACCTGTACTCACTGACACACCTGTACTCACTGACACATCTGTACTCACTGACACACCTGTACTCACTGACACATCTGTACTCACTGACAAACCTGTACTCACTGACACATCTGTACTCACTGACACACCTGTACTCACTGACACATCTGTACTCACTGACACACCTGTACTCACTGACACACCTGTACTCACTGACACACCTGTACTCACTGACACATCTGTACTCACTGACAAACCTGTACTCACTGACACATCTGTACTCACTGACATCTGTACTCACTGACACATCTGTACTCACTGACACATCTGTACTCACTGACACATCTGTACTCACTGACACATCTGTACTCATTGGCATTTAACACAGTGTGATCTCATTTGGTATTTCGTTGTTGATGATTGTGTTCATCCATTTTGCTTTTACTCCCTGACATTTAATGCAGGGTGTATTGTATTTCATTGTTTCTAATTATATTTCATGTTTTTATGCTTTTATTCATGTTGCTGTAATATGTTGTTAATATTTGATGCTGTGATCTTTTTTGGTAAGCACTTTGATAACAGTTACTGTTTTAAATGTGCTATATAAATAAATGTGACTTGACTAAGGATCATACTGGACCTAAGGATCATACTGGACCTAAGGATCATACTGGACCTAAGGATCATACTGGACCTAAGGATCATAGTGGACCTAAGGATCATACTGGACCTAAGGATCATACTGGACCTAAGGATCATACTGGACATAAGGATCATACTGGACCTAAGGATCATACTGGACCTAAGGATCATAGTGGACCTAAGGATCGTACTGGACCTAAGGATCGTACTGGACCTAAGGATCATAGTGGACCTAAGGATCATAGTGGACCTAAGGATCATAGTGGACCTAAGGATCATAGTGGACCTAAGGATCATACTGGACCTAAGGATCATACTGGACCTAAGGATCATAGTGGACATAAGGATCATACTGGACATAAGGATCATACTGGACATAAGGATCATACTGGACCTAAGGATCATATTGGACCTAAGGATCATAGTGGACCTAAGGATCATACTGGACCTAAGGATCATACTGGACCTAAGGATCATACTGGACATAAGGATCATACTGGACATAAGGATCATACTGGACACCTAAACTTAGAGGAAGACAATCCAGGTGTTTTACTGTCACCTGCTGACCAGTGGTCGCTCCTGGATCTGGATGGTGCTCAGCTCCTGCAGGCTGCCCTGTAGATGCACAGACATGTTGGAGTTTGGAATACTGAACCTTCTCCTCTTTCTGTGTCCACAGCAGGAGACGCTTGGAGGTGAGGAGGACGAGGAGGAAGAGTGAGACAGTTGCTTCACTGGGATCATCTCCCTGCAGCTATCCTCAAAGACCTTCTCATCAACAAACTCGTGGTTCTGAGGAAGAGAGTGAAGACTTGCATGACAAAGCCTGATGAACGAGGAGATCTTTGGTGTAGTTTACTGATGTTCTCACCGTGGTTTTCTCCAGACATTTCAGCAGGTGATGATTCTGCAGCTCAAAGTTCGGGTTCATCTTACATACCAGGGCCTGGCCTGCTTCTTTGGACACCTTCAAACACAAATCATATGACCCGACATCAGAACCACAGCACTTTGTTGAACCACCACTGGGGACATGGACAAGGTTCTCATTGGACCCAACTCTGTCTGAACTTTCAAACGTTCACCGTTTTTATCCTCAGTAGTTTTGATTCTGGTCCTGTGCTCCAGACCTCTGAAAGTCTCATGTGACCCGGCACCAAAAACAAAAAGTCCTGCCAACTGAGGGAACTGTCTCACCCCTTCAGGGACATGTCTCACCTTCTGAGCTCGTCTCTTCTCAGCTCTCTGGCTTTGGTGGTAGATCCGGCTGAAGTTGGACACGATGACAGGAACCGGCAGGGCGATGACCAGGACGCCGCTCAGGGAGCAGATGGAACCAAAGATCTTCCCCATGATGGTCTTTGGAACCATGTCCCCGTATCTGAGGAGAGGAAAGAAGGTCAAAAGGTCAGGACCAGAAGAACCAGGGACCAGATGAAGATCCAGAATAAAGGTTTGGAAGGAGTCTGCCTCTCTGAAGTGCCCTAAAGTTGTCATGTTGAAACGTTTGGAGTGTTTCAGAAACAAATCACAAACTTTTACAGTTTTTCTTTTTTCTGAGGGAGATCACAAACAGAGGAGCATCTTCACACTCAAATGAACCGTCGTCACAAAGTGAAACCGTCCACAGAGTCTTCACATTCAAAGGAACCGTCTTCTCACAGAGGAACATTCAATAACTGTCCTAAATAGATGTCCTGATGATGCACAATAATCCAGGTAGATAAATCTAACCAGGTGGAGTCACGTCCTCTGAACAGATTCTTCTTCTTGAAACGTTTCATCTTTTATCCAAAGGACTTCTTCAGTCTCAGGAGCTGCAACAAACTCAGTCTTATAAATAGCACCTTCTCATGGTGGATCAATCAGTTTGCTGCTGACAACCAGAACCAGCTGATCACATGCTCAAGAAGGACCATCAGTCTAACAATGGGTCATTAGCACCTGATGGCTGTTTACTGTTCACTCAGGGCTGAGTGATACTAGCAATCACAGCATTGTAAGAGGGGGACAGTTGAACCTGAAGGCTCCACCCCTGTTTAACGATGGCAATATTGTAACAAGAGTAATGTTGTGTATGTTGTTCAGTGTCAGGAGGGTGATCAGTCTTACATCGGGGAAACAAAACAGCCACTGGCCAAAAGGATGGACCAGCACAGAAGATCAACATCATCAGGCCAGGACTCTGAGGTCTACACTCATCTCCAGGCCAGCGGTCACTCTTTCAGGGATGAAGATGTTCACATCCTGGACAGAGAGGAACGATGGTTTGAGAGAGGAGTAAAGGAGGCCATCTTTGTGAAAAGAAACCGTCCATCATTATCTCAGAGCTCATTATGTCAGCAGCAAACTGGTTGATCCACTCTGAGAAGGTGCTATTTAAGAGACTGAGCTGAATACAGCACCTCAGACTGAGGAAGTCCTCTGGATGAGAGACTAAACGTTTCTACATTTTTTTGTTGTTTTGTTTTTTTTGAATGTCCAGAGGACCAGATTGAACTTTTTTAGATTTTTCTACCTGGATTATTGAGCAGCATCAGGATATTTTGAGATACGGTTCATGCAATCAATTTATTCTGTTTGAACTGGGATGATCTTAGTCCTGATAAAGGTTTTGGTTCAAAGCAGGAAATGTTTCATGTTGTCACCTGTGCCCAGGTAAAAAGAAAACACAGCTGTCTCCATCTCTGTGTCTCTCCATCTGTCTCTGTATGTCTCTGTGACTCTGTGTGTCTCTATATGTTTCTTTGTCTCCATCTGTCTGTGTCTCTGTTTGTTTCTGTATGTCTCTATGTGTCTCTGTATGTCTCTATATGTCTCCGTCTGTCTCTGTGTCTCTGTATGTCTCTATATGTCTCTATATGTCTCCGTCTGTCTGTGTCTCTGTATGTCTCTGTCTGTCTCTGTATGTCTCTGTATGTCTCTGTCTGTCTCTGTGTCTCTGTATGTCTCTATATGTCTCCGTCTGTCTGTGTCTCTGTTTGTTTCTGTATGTCTCTATGTGTCTCTGT